GTATGCTAATGCATATAGACACAGTAGCACTCATTTAGGATGGATGCTAGTTGAAAGTAATTTATTTTTTAAATTTTTAAATCATGTTTATTCTATTACAGTTGTCTCAGTTTCTCCCCTTTGCCTTCCTCCACCCATCCCCCCCTACAGTCAATTCCCACTCCGTTGTCCATGTCCGTGGGTCATTCATACATGTTCTTTGTTTAGTTCCTTCTCCTTTCCACCATTGTCCTCCTTCCCCACCCCTTCTGGTCACTTTCAGTCTGCTCCATGTTTTCTTGCCTGTGGTTTATTTTGTTGAATAGATCTCACTTATAGTTGAGATCATATGGTATTTCTTTCACCAACTGGCTTATTTCACTTAGCATAATATTCTCCAGTTCCATCCATGTTGTCGCAAAAGGTAGGAGTTCCTTCTTTCTTTTCTTTTTAATGTAGATTGATTTTACTTATTTAATTTTTGTCAAGATCCATTATAAAGTATTAAAAAATTTAAATCCATTAAAAAATCTCAGCAATCATGATAGCTGTACAGAAATAATCAAGTAGATCAGTGAAATAAAATGAGCATTCTAGAAACAAACGTGTATATCTTTCTAACAATATAGTATATGATTAAATTAATATTTCAAATGAATGGGGAAAATAAGGCTTATTCAACAAATAAGGTGCAGGGACCACTAAGTCTTGAAATAAAACAAATATAGAGCCCTGTTTCACACATTATACAAGAAATATGCAGGTGAGTTAAAAGTCAGTATGTAAAATCTAAGGAGTTTTCAGAGAAAATAAAATTTTTTTTGTACCCTAAAGTAACATACTCAAACCCAGAAGCAATGAAGTAAAATATTGACAATATGACTATATTAAACATTTAAGATTATACAGTGATATATGTATAAAGTTAAAGGACAAGTAATAGAATAGGAAAGTATTTGCAACACATCTAAAAAAGGGTTAATGGTTTGGTTTGTTTTTTTTTTTAGGGAAAAAATTCTACAAACATTTAATCAAAAAATGGATGAAGAATACCAAAAAGTCATTTAAATCTTTTTTAAACATAATAGAAATAGGCAAGAAATATACAAAAACAGGTTTAGTTTCAACAATTAATAAAGTAACAATTCAAATAACATCATTGTCACAATCAGATTAATAAGTATTAAAAATATTGGTAATATCAAGTATTGGTGACTGTGAAAGGAACTGGGTATTCATAGACTCTTTTCATCTTCTTAAAGCAGTCCCTTGAGCATATCTTGCAATACTGGTTTGGTGGAAGTGTATTCTTTTAGCCTTCTTTTTGTCTGGGTAACTCCTTATTTCATCTTCCATTTTAATTGAGAGACTTGCTGGGTAGAGACGTCTTGGTTGCAGGCCTTTGCTTTTCATGACTTGTAATATTTCTTGCCATTCTCTTCTGTCTTGTAGTATTTCTGTTGATAAGTCAGCTGCTAGCCATACTGGGGCTTCCAGTTACTACCTCTTTCTCCCTTTCTGCCTTTAGTATTCTCTGTCTTCGATATTTGCCATTTTAATGATGATGTGTGCCTTGGAGTGGGCCTCACTGGGTTCCTCTTGAATGGGACTCTCTGTGCTTCCTGGACTTGTGTGACCTTTTTCTCTCCTCAAATTAGGGAAGTTTTCCATCATTACTTTTTCAAACAGGTTCTCCATCCCTTGCTCCTCCTCTTCTCCTTCTGGTATCCTTATTATATGGATATTATTACATTTCAGGTTGTCCTGCATTTCCCTCAACACCTCTTAATTCTTTTAAAGTCTTGTTTCATTTTCTTGCTCCTTCTGGGAGCTTTTTTCTACCTAATTCTCCAGCTTTCTGATTGGATCCTTTGCTTCATCTAGCCTGCTTTTTATTCCTTCTACTGTGTTCTTCAATTTGGAAATTGTATTCTTCATTTCCTCTTGTCTCTTATTGATAGTTTCTATGTCCTTTTTCATACTGATACAGTTTTAAGTAGGTTCCTTGTAGTTTCCCTGTAGTTCTTTGTAGTTCTCTCTGAGCTCACTGAGCTCATTGACCTTCCTTATAACTGTTGTTTGGAACTCAATATCTGATCGTTTACTTGCCTCTGTTTCATTTAGTTCTCTTTCTGGGGATTCCTCCTTTCCCTTCAACTCAGAGGTGTTTCTATGTCTTTCCATTATTTGTGAGATTTTTTTTTTTTTTTTTTTTTTTTTTGCTCCTGCTTCTTAAGTTGATTTGTCTTGATTTCCTGACTTTGTGGTGTGAACTTCTATGGTAGGAGACTGCTGTTTTTTTTTCTTTCTGGATCTGCCTCTGATGATGTCAGATGTTGACCCTGTCCAACCTTAGGCAGTCTGTTTAAGACTTCCAGGAATCTACTTACTGTCTGTGGCTCTCACCTTCAGCTGTTAATCTAGTTACTCTGCACTCAGTGGGCCGGCTTAGAGACACCACAGGGCGGTGCATAGTCCCTCCTGGGGACAGGGTATTGGGTCTTCTCACACTGCTGCTGCTCAGGGGAGTGGTCTCCCTGAGCCAAACGGCTGCTGCCATATGGGGGAGGAGTGAGCACCAGGATCCCGCCAGCTACTCTGCCTGTTCTCTCCCCAAAGTCTCTGTCTCCAGTCTCTCCCCAAGTGTCTCTAGACCACTCTGCTCCCCCTTTAGCCAGGGATCTACTGTCTGTGGCTGCCACTCTGTACCCAGCTGTCAGGCTTTAGCACTACTGGGCCTAGGCTGAGCCTCCTGGGGACAGGGCTATTGTGTCCTCTCATGCTGTTGCTGCTCAGGGGAGTGGTCTTTGCCTGAGCAAGACGGCTGCTGCCACATGGGGGATGAGTCAACATTGGGATTCCGCCAGCTACTCTCTCAGTTCTCTCCCTCAAAGCCTCTCTCCCCAGTCTCTCCTCAGGCGTCTCTAGCCCACTCTGCCCCCGTCTTTGCCGGAGACCAGGGTAAGTGGCTGCAAACAAAAATTTATATGTTGGCACTTTAAACTGTTCTTTGTGTCTCCAACTGCCTGTCTCTGGCAGAGAGCAACCCAGCTGACTGTTTTCTGTGTACTTTTGGGGTTCTGGTGCTGCAGGCTCAAGATCCTTGCTTATGGTTTTGACCCCGTTCTTCTCAGCGGGATCCAGCTGGCCGTTTCAGTATCCTTCTGGTGCTGCCACCCATGGGTACCCCTCCTGCCTCCTCGAGTCTCTATCACACTCCTTACTAGTTAGGTTGTGCTAAAGCTGATTCTTCTGTTTGTCCGAGGTTAAAAGCCTTCTCTCGCTATTGTTCAGTTGTTTGTTCCAGGTGTTTTCTCCACACTGTAGTTGTAATTCCAGGTTGTTCCTTGGAGGAGGTCAGTGTGACTTCCACTCAGTCCTCCACCATCTTGATTCCTCCGAAAGTCATTTTCTATGTTGCCTACCAAGTGTTTGTACTTAATGCAGATTTTAGTGAGTAACAACACTAAACAAGAACAACAGACATTGATACTTCACACTTGTTTGATGACACCAATTTAAAATGTTTTAAAGTTCAAATTCCCAGCAGCTTGATATTCATGTGTTCAAAATTATGTCAGGAAGTTAGTGAAAAGCCAGCTTGAAATACAACATTGATTGATTTGTAATGATAAGATAATGTTGACTAGTTTAATTATTACTCATTCAGAATTGTGAAAGCAAGAACCATTTTTCACAAAATTGATCTTCATATTAAAATGATTAGAAATATCTTTCTAATAGAATTTCCACCAAACTTTGTCATTTGGTTCTGTTTTTAAAAGAAAAATAAATGACTCCAGAGAATGAAATATTTCAAATACATTTCGATATATAATCTTTCACAAATGTAGAATTTAAGAGTATTCATGAATATACATGGTCAAGTGCCTACTTAAATATTACATGTAAATTATTTATGATGAAAGAGACCGAGAGACATGAGAGGGGAGAGGGAAGTATTGATAGTGATCGACTTGCCAGTTGTGTATGCACATATTCAGACTTCAGGTAAGTAAAGGGTTTTAGAGATACCAGATTCACCCAATGGACCTCATCATTTCAGCTCATTTGTTTTTAAAGGTTATTTAAACTGTTTAGGAATTCTTCTGACAAGCCATATGTTGCAACAGTCAGAGCTCTTTCACGTAAAATGAGATTCTGTAGGTTTTTTTGAGTTTCATTGTTTACTGACAAACTGTATAGCAGTTTTGGTTTTGTTTCACCTATGCAAAGTGTGAACATAACTAATTAATTCTCTCAAGTTGATAGCACACTTGAAAGGTTTTTGATCATTTGTACTATAAACTGTCTTAGATTACTTTCCCCATTGAATAATGTGTGCTTTATATAGTTTGTGAGTTTCAAAGATGCTCCATTTGTGTACAAATTCTAAATCTTGACAAAAATGACTTCGTGGATTACCCTATAAATAATTAAAAGTCAATAATATCTGAGTACATGAGGTGTACCAATAACAGATGATATATAATTTTATAGTTCCATTATAATTATTCTAGTGTTTTACCTTAAATAGCTTTTTCACTTTTGTTCTTATATAACCTGATTATTTGTTTTTTACATTCTCACAAAAACAAGAAATTCCCCTTTTTGCAGTAGCCATATGCGGTAAGAGCAAAATAAACTTCCAGATAGAGGAGTCTTCACCATATTTCTCCAGAGTGTTTTTAATTCTGTGCGTGCAGATAGATGATAATGTGATTTCCAGGTACTAAATAGTCCTCAGCCATTCATGCTCAGTACTGTTATCTGGAATAAAACTAGATTAAACTTGTAGAATGGCGAATTACTGAAAATAATAAAGTTAAGGCAATTCGTTAATATTTTTCTCCTTGTCTACTTTGTATAGCCTGGATGAAATGGAAAAACTTATTTGGGGGCCGATCAGATTGAAAAGGGTCTGAAATTACAAAGAGAAACATGGAGATAAAAATGTTTTTTTTTTCTTTTTAAATTAAACACAGCGCCTCTTTTCTTACATGCCTCTGTTTTTCTTTTAGTGGCAAAGCATTTCTATAACACTGGTTGAGAAAGTTCAGATGATTGCTGTAATCCTAGGATCCCTGTTCTTAATAGCGAGTGTGACCTGGCTCCTCTGGTCAGCCTTCAGCCCCTATGCAGTGTGGCAGAGGAAGGACATCCTTTTTCAAATCTGCTATGGAATGTATGGTTTTATGGATCTAGTGTGCATAGGTAAGACCATGACGTTAAACGTTAACCAATTGTCAGTAATCCGTTTCTTGCAGCTATTACATTTTCATCAGGTGGATGTCATATAGAATGCTGTGGTTCGCATGATCTTGGTTCTCCAGTTAATTAATTGTCCAGGCCATCACAACCTGGCCACTCTTCTAAAAGAGCATAGCATCTATGTTCTTAAATAATATGAAAAAATGAACAGAATAATGTCCATGTTAAGTGACATGTTTTGCAATGCAAAAGAAGGAGGACTCAAAATTATTTGGGGTGGGCAATGTAAGGACAGTCATTTATTTCTAAGGAATTAAAGCAAGTCAGTTACCCTTCACAAAGCTGGGATAGCACTGATAAGACACCGGTGGTGATATTTGTTCATTTGGGGAGAGAACAGGGACTTGGGGACAGTTTTAATTTCTGTCTTGTACCTCTGTGTTTCACTTATTAAATTCAGTGGCTTCGAAGAGAAAAAGGATCCAACATTTTAGCCTAAGCCAACACTACAAAAAAGATTTCCTATTTGTACGTTTCACTTCACTGATCTGTTGTTTCCCTGATATTGTCTATGAGAAAAACGGAAGCCAGCTCATGCAGTGTTTATGTGGTGTGGGAGGTGCCGCGGGCGCCTTGATGGGGACCAGTTGGCAGTGAGGAGCCGGGATGAGGAGGGCAACACCACATCAAGGACACTTTCCCTGCACTGATGTGCTTTGTAGCTCAGTGGAATGTGGGAAGAGCTCAGGAGAGCAGCTACAGTTTAAAGCAGCGATTCTCAAAGTGTGGTCTGCAGACCACCACCAGCAGCAGCAACATCTACCACGTCTTTTTTTAAGGAATGAACATTTCTCAGGCCCCACCCCAGACCTGCTCAATCAGAAACTTCAGCCCCATCTGTGTTTTACAAGCCTCCTAAGGTTCTGATGCACGCTGATTAAAGGAATGGGTGCTCAACTAGCCCTAGTCTCTGCTTGGACAGATCAGCTTTGCCCAAATTCCTGTTTTCTCACCTATAAAAATGGGGATAATCATTTAGGACAGGCCTAAATGAAATAATGATTATAAAATAATGTTATCAATTGCAAGTTGTAAATTAAGGGTATTTGAGTAAATCTCAAACATCGAAATAATTTAAATCACTTAAATGTCTCTACTCATGAAAGCCTTAATTTAGCTAGCAGTTTTAATATTCTGTTATTTTTTTCTAAAAGACCTCTATAAATTTTAAAATATGATCAGTCTAAATTTCCCCTCCTTATCTTCTTTTCTCCTTTGTCACTAGTGCAAAGCTAGGGAGAAAGAAAATGATCAAATTTCAAGCCAGAAAGGAAAAAAAAAGGAAAGGAAATGTCATGGGTAATATGTAAACTGAGCAGATGTTGCCTGAATAATTGAGCTAATCATGTATATGAACAATTTGCATTAAATGTGAAAATGCCTATGCACGCTTTTAGAAATTCAAAATCTCTATACAAATGTAATCTCGAGGGTAGGGTTCTAAATGAAGAAGGATTACAAAATTGTTCTACAAGTCCCTCAACAAATTCAGAGATAGTGTTTCTTCTGTCTTTCAACATAAATGTTGTAAAATGTGATATTCCATTACTATTCAAAAGGAAGGTGAAAAAAAAAAAACAACCCATTAGATTCCCAATCCAACCTACAGGAAAAAAAACCCAGTTAACTTTCTTGATATTACCTAAAAGGAGCCATATATTTCCTGGTCAGGAAACTGTTTTCCTAAATTTCACAGCTTGCATTTAGTTTTATTATGTCTCAAATTTTGATTGCTAATGTCAGACTTCTAACATTAGCAGGATTCTAATGTTAGAATCCTGCCTTAAAAAGCACATACATATGAACTAATGATATTTCAACAATCTATGATATATTTGGCAATCTGTTTTGAAATCTAGGAATTTGCCCATTTTATAAGGTCAAGTTTCTTAGGAACAAAAACCAGTTGACATTTTCCTGGAGACACTTTGGAGAGTGAATTTTTATGTAAGTTTTAAGTATTGACAATACTTTTTGTCTTTTGGCTCATCAAATCCAAATCTCATTATTCAATGATTTATGTATGTTTTGAAAAATATTAAAGAATTCAGATTGAACAGCATTCTTGATTTCACTTGGAAAACTCATTAATTAGTCTGGGGCCAGAGAAAATTTTATTTTTTCTCCCAAGAAATCAGGAAACTACTATCTATAGTCAAGAAAGCAAATAGAGATAAGCTTCTAGTAGCCAAACAGATCATAGACTGTAATAGCTCTTGCTAACATTTCAAATTAATTTAAATGTCTGGTAATTAAGTATAGACAGTGACAAAATAGATTACATTGATTACACCTCAAATATCCCCGACAGCAAGAGTTTGAGTCGGAATACAATGAAAAGCAAGTTAGAGGCCAATTTGCTCAGCTCAGTTTAATTAATATTTATTGAAGACTTTCTATGTGCCAGACACAGTGCTAGGTGCTGCGAATAAAAATGTGTCCATCTCTTCCCTGCCCCCAAGGAGCTTCCAGCCCCACAGGCAGGACAGACATGTAGTAGGCAAGTAGATGCACTGAGGTGGGCACAGCGTGACAGTGTGCAGAGGAGACGGGACAGAGCTGGGAGAGGTGAACACTGGGCCGCCGCACGTAGAGGGTGGATGGTTTCCGGCGGACTCCATGGGGAGGTGAGAGCCAAGCAGGCTGTGGGGTGAGGAGATGCTCGGCAATGGGAGGATGGCCCCCTTGTCACTGTTGGAGGATGTAAGACTGGCTCGCCATTCAGAGGGCTTTAAAGCAGTTGAAAACATTCCTACATTTCTATTCATCCAAGCTTTTTAAACTTGTTTATAAGGAGTAGGTTGGCAGCTTCATAAATGTTCTTTTAAAAAAATGGTTCTGAAAAATCTATAGATTACTCCAGAATCAAAAAATGTTATGATCCAGCCAGTGTATACAATGTTTACGATGAGATTCTTATTGGATTCTTAAATAGAAATGTAAAGATTTATAGAAAATTTACTTACTTGGGAAATTTATTTACTTATTTCCAGCCACAGTGAATTTATTGTTGCTTTCATTTATTATTAATATATTTTCTGCTTTTCATCATCTATTTTTTCTTTTTTTTATGTTTTTTAAAAAAATTATATTTTATTGATTATGCTATTACAGTTGACCTGACTATTTACCCTTGGTCCCCCTCCACCCAGCAGCCCCATCCCTCAGGCAATCCCCACAGCTTTGTTCATGTCCATGGGTCATACAGATAAGTTCTTCGGCTACTCCGTATCTTATACTGTACATTACATCCCCATGGTTATCCTGTACTACCCATTTGTACTTCCTAATCCCATTATCTCTTCACCTGTTCCCCTACACCCTTCTCCCATCTAGCAACCATCAAAATGCTCTCTGTAGCCATGATTCTGTCTCTGTTCTTCTAGTTTTCTTAGTTTGTTTTTTAGAGTCAGTTGTTGCTAGATATGTATTTATTGCCATTTTATTTTTCATAGTTTTGATCTTCCTTTTCTTAAAAAACTCCCTTTAACATTTCATATAATAATGGTTTGGTGATGATGAACTCCTTTAGTTTTTTCTTGTCTGGGAAGCTTTTTATCTGCCCTTTGATTCTAAATTACAGCTTTGTTGGGTAGTGCAATCTTGGCTGAAGGTCCCTGCTTTTCATGACTTGGAATATTTCTTTCCAATCCTTTCTAGCCTGCAAAGTTTCTTTTGAGAAACCAGCTGACAGCCATATGGGAACTACCCTGTAGGTAACTGTTTTTCTCCTCCTGATTTTAAGATTCTCTCTTTATCTTTAACCTTAGGCATTTTAATTTTGATGTGTCTTGGAGTGGGCCTCTTTGCATCCATCTTGTTTTGGATTCTCTGTGCTTCCTGGACTTGTATGTCTATTTCCTTCACCAAATTAGGGAAGTTTTCTCTCATTTTTTTAAAAATAGATTTCCAGTTTCTTTCTTTCTCTTCTCCTTCTGGCACCACTAGGATGCGAATATTGGAATGCTTGAAGTGGTCCCACAGGCTGCTTACACTATCCTTGTTTTTTTGGATTCTTTTCTCTTCTTCTTATTCTGTGTAGTTTTTTGCTTCTTTGCATTCCAGATCATTGATTTCATTCTTCGCTTCATCCACCCTACTGTTGTTTCCCTGAAGTTGTTCTTTATTTCAGTTAGTGTACCTTCATTGCTGACTGGATATTTTTTATGCTCTTGAGGTCCTTACTAAGTCCTTTGAGCATGCTTATAACCAGTGTTTTGAACTCTGCATCTGATAGATTGCTTTTCTCCATTGTGTTAGTTCTTTTTTTCAGGACTTTTGATCTTTTCTTTCATTTGGGCTATTTTTTTTTTTATTTTTGGTCTTCTCATTTTGACAGCCTCCTTGTGTTTATTTCTATGTATTAAGTAGAGCTGCTTTGCCTCTGTGTCTTGGTAGCATGGCTTAATGTAAAAGGTGTCCTGTAGGGTCCAGTGGCACAGCCTCTCCTATCACCTAAGCTGGGTACTTCAGGTGAACCCTTTGTGTGGGCTAAGTATACCCTTCTCTTGTAGTTGAGCCTTGATTGTTGTTGGTAGATCAGTGGATGGGATTTACCCAGGCAAGTCAGCTGCAAAGATTGGCTGTGACCACTTACCACCAACCTCTGCCCTCCGTGGAGGATCAGCTGTGCATGGGCAGGGTGATGGCACTCTGACGTGGTCTGTAGCTGTCCAGTGAGTGGACACAGGGCCTCCTGCACAGGCCCTGGAGTTTCCCAGGTAGTGCAGGCCAAGGTCAGCCCCCACTTGTGTTCTGCCCGGGGCTGCCTGCATGAGATATAAAGCAGTCTGAGATGGCTGCCACTTGTGCTGGGCTTGGAAATTCCCAGCCTGTGAATCTGGGTTGGCTTCTGCTAGTGCCATGCCTGGAGCCACTTAGCAAGAGGTATGAGGGCTGGGGGCTCACTGGGGCTGGCTCTTGCTTGTTTGGTAGGACCTAGG